GTGCTCTTTTGCAAACTTCAAACGTGCTGCAATATTCTTTTTGGACAGCAATGGCTTCCTCCGTGGTGTCCTCCCATGTACTCCATTCTTGTTTCATGTTTTCCTTATTGTAGATGTGTCAACAAAAATGTTAGCATGTGCCAGAGATTTCTGTAGGTCTTTAGCTGACACTCTGGGATTCTTCTTTACCTCATGCAGCATTCTGCGCTGTGCTCTTGCAGTCATTTTTACAGGACGACCACGCCTAGGGAGAGTAGCAACAGTGCTAAACTTTCTCCATTTGTAGACAGTCTGTCTTACCGTGGACACATGAACATCAAGGCTTTGGGAGATACTTTTGTAACCCTTTCCAGCTTCATGCAAGTCAACAATTCTTGATGGTAGGTCTTCTGAGAGCTCTTTTCTGCGAGGCATGGTTCACATCAGACAGTGCTTCTTGAAACCAGTAAACCCAAAACAGGTGTGTGTTTTTTAAGGGCAGGACAGCTGTCAGCAACACATCCAATATCATCCCACTGATTGGAGTCAAGGTTGGCTCACTCCTGGCTCCAATTAGCTCTGGGAGAAGTCATTAAGCTAGGGCCTCACATACTTTTTCCTCCCTGCACTGTGAATGTTTACATGTTATGTGCAATTAAACCATGGCAACATCTAATGTTTGTGTAGTATTATGTTCAGCAGACTGTGTTCTTCTATTGTTGTGACTTAGATGACGTTCAGAGCACATTTTATGCCCAATTCATGCAAAACTCCACGGAATCCCAAGGGGTTCACATACTTTTTCTTGCAACTGTATTTATACATGTTGATCATATCCCCCCTTAATCTCCTCTTCTCAAGAGAGAAATAAATTCAGTTCCTCTAATCTTTCCTCATAGCTGAGCTCCTCCATGCCTCGTATGAGTTTAGTTGCCCTTCTTTGTACTTTCTCTAGTTCCCCAATGTTCTTTTTGTGAATTGGTGCCCAAAACTGAATTGCATATTCCAGATGAGGTGTTACTACTGATTAGTACAGGGGTAATATGATATCTTTCTCTCTGGAGTCTTTACCTCCTTTAATACAAGAAGGATTTTTCTCGCTTTAGAAACCGCAGCTTGGCATTGCATGCCATTATTAAGCTTGTGATCTACCAGAACTCCCAGATCCTTCTCCACCATTGATTCCCCCAGTTGTACCCCCCCTAGTATGTATGATGCATGCATATTCTTAGCCCCCAAGTGCATCACCTTACATTTATCAACATTAAACCTTATTTGCCACATAGTTGCCCAATTACACAGAGCATTGAGGTCGGCTTGGAAGTTGAAGACATCCTGTAAGGACGTTATTCCACTGCACAGCTTGGTGTCATCTGCAAAGACTGAAATGGTCTAAAAGTAAAATTAAAAAGTAAGGGTCCCAACACTGAATCTTGGGGTACACCACTGATGACCCTAGACCATTCAGAGTATAAATCATTAACCACTATTCTTTGAATAAGATCATTTAGCCAGTTATCTATCCATTTACATACAGATTTTTCCAAGCCTGTAGACCTTATCTTACACATTAGCCGTGTGTGGGGAACTGTGTCAAACGCTTTCGTAAAATCCAAGTATACCACGTCCACCGCCACCCCTCTGTCCAAGGTTTTGCTCACCCCCTCATAAAAAGAAATCAGATTTGTTTGACAACTTCTGTCTTTCATGAATCCATGCTGTCTGCTGCTTAAAATATTTTTTTTCAGCAAGAACTCATCTATGTGGTCTTTTATTAAACTTTCCAGTATCTTCCCAACTATAGAAGTTAAACTAACAGGTCTATAATTACTTGGTAAAGATTTTGACCCCTTTTTAAATATTGGCACCATATTGGCCTTACGCCAATCCAGTGGTACTATGCCAGTCATAAGAGTCCCTAAAAATTAGAAACCATGGCTTTGAAATGACAGAGCTCAGTTCTTTAAGGACCCGTGGGTGTATGCCATCCGGTCCAGGTGCTTTATTCACCTTTTATTCTGTCTAAATATTTTTGGATCATATCAATTTTGAAGCAATGTGGATCATCTGGAGCTGTGTCAATACCATGCCCAAGAGCTCCCCCATGCTCCTTTGTATACACAGAGCTGAAGAAAGTATTAAATAAATTTGCCTTCTCTTTGTCCCTAGTCACCCACTCTAGATTATTATGTAAAGGGCCTACATGCTCGGACCGAACCTTTTTACTATTAATATATTTGAAGAATTTTTCGGGGTTGGTCCTGCTATCTTTTTCAATCTGTCGTTCGTTTTCAATTTTTGCGGCCTTTATTTCCTTTTTGCATATTCTGTTATATTCTTTGTAATGTTTAGACGATGATAGCGTTCCTTAATTTTTATATTGAATAAAAGCTTTTTTCTTATTATCTATAGCTTTTTTTAACTTTGGCCGTAAGCCACATAGGTTTGATTTGTAGCCTTTTAAACTTGTTGGAATATATTTTGCAGTGTGTTCACATACAGTTGTACTTGAACTCCCATTTTTGTGTTGTGTTCAACGATGCCAATATTCCCTCCCAGTCTAAGTCTTGGGAAGCAGCTCTCAGCCTTGGAAAATTAGCTCTCTTGAAATTTAATGTTTTTATTTTTCCCGTATGTGCTCGCTATTTACAGCTAACAATAAATGAAATCATGTTATGGTCACTGCTACCCAGATGTTCTTTTATATGGACATTCGTAATAAGCTCTGCATGGTTTGAGATAACCAGGTCCAGCAGAGCATCATTCCTATTAGGGGCTTCTATGAACTGTACCATAAAAGTGTCCTGTAGTAGGTTTAAAAATGTTTGCCCTTTAACTGACCCTGCAGTACCATTACTCCAGTCAGTTGCTGGGTAGTTAAAATCCCTCATTATCACTGTCCCAGACCTTGCAGCCCTTTCGATCTATGCAAGGAGCTGAGTTTCCACCTCCTCAATAATACTGGGAGGTCTATAACAAACTCCAATGATTACCTTTGTAGTACGCACCCCCATGTGTAGTTCCACCCATAATACTTCAGCCTCATCACACTCTCCATCAACTTAGTCCTCTTTCACACTCTCTCTGGGATCACTTCTCACATAGAGACAGACACCACCACCTTTCCTATTTACTCTGTCTCTCCAAAATAGAACATAGCCAGGAATATTAATGACCCAGTCATGCGAAGAATGAAGCCAAGATTCAGCAATACCAATTAAATCCATAGTTCTCTTCATGCACCAAAGCTTCCAACTCACCTATTTTGCTTGGCAGACTTCTGGCATTGGTGAACAAACACTTTAATTCATTGACACCTTGTTCCACGTATTTTGCATATTTTTTATTTTCATACAAATGGTACCAATTCCAGTGGTTGTTTGTAACATGGGAACCTTCTTATCATTTGCCATAACCTTTCCCCGTTCCACCCACCAATAAGTACTGACTCCTGTCTGATCTGTCTACCCTGTTATAATCTAATTCTCCCTTCCCCCCACCCTTGATTTTAGTGTAAATTCTCCTCCAGCCTTCCCATAAACCTCTCCCCTAGCACAACAGACCCCCTTCCATTTAGGTGAAGTCCATCTCTAGCATATAGGTTGTACTCCAATGAAAAGTCAGCCCAGTTCTGTAGAAACCCAAATCCTTCTCTCTTACACCAGGTCTTTAGCCATGCATTGAGTTCTCTATACTCCCCCTGTCTTTCCTTGCGCATGGCACAGGTAATATTTCAGAGAATATCACCTTGGAGGTCCTTCCCTTCAACTTGCAGCCTAGTTCTTTAAATTGATTCTTAAGGAGCCTCCACCTTCCATGTATTCTGTCATTGGTTCCAACATGAACCAAGACAGCTTGGTCATGCCCAGCCCCTCTCAGTAATTTATCAACCCGCTCCACCACATGCCGAACCCTGGCACCAGAGAGACAGCAAACCATTTGGTTGAGGCGATTCTGGCGACAAATTAGAATCCCCTACTACCACCAGCTGTCTAGGCCTTCCTGCACTACCCTCACCACCACTCCCAGATGGTATGCCCTCCCAGCTGTTAGGGATACCAATGACATCTAGGGCTGCCACCCCCACATCTTCACACCCAACTTGGCAAATCTGTTAGGGTGTTCAAACCCAGGGCCAGCCTTCCTTTTTTCTGTGAGCCCCTACCACTCCCTCTCGTTACAGTAACCCATCTTCCTACCTGATAATCCTGATTAGCCCCTCCGCCCGCCACATCAATCCCATTAGCTACTTGCTGAGAGAGCAGAAGACCCTTTTTCAAGGTTGATAGTTCTTCCCAGTGTTGCAACTTGCTCCTCCAGACCTCTAACGCGAGTTTCCAGAAGGGCAAGCCGCTCACATCTGTCGCAGCGCTATCCATCCTGGAGCTGTTGCTCCATTGTTGCATACATGCGGCACACTGTGGACTGCACAGAACCTTCCACCCTGCTAACACATTATCCCAGTTACAATATTAATAGGAAATATCAGTTGTCACTTACAGGTTAGTAGACTCCTGTTATAATTTCCTGTTTCCAACTCTGGTTTTTTAACTCCACTTATCAAATGTCCACTTATGCAGGCCATAGATGGGTCGAAAATCGGCCGATTTTTCGGCCGAAAATAAAATCGGCCGATTTTCGGATCGTTAGTGGGCTATTTGTTCGGCCGTTTTTCGTGATTTTGGCCGTTTTTTTTTTTTTGGTAAAGTTGGAAAGAAATCGGCCGATCGGCCGATTTTCGCGGCATTAATGGGCTAATCGGCCGATTTTTTACCGATAAAAAATCTGCGCATGAGCAGTGACCTGCAAGAGGAAGACAAAAAGAAGAAGAAGAGGATGAAGAAGAAGAGGATGAAGAAGAAGAAGAGGATGAGGAAGAAGAAGAGGAGGATGAGGATGAAGAAGAAGAAGAGGAGGATGAGAAGAAGAAGAAGAAGAGGATGAGGACGAAGAAGAGGATGAGGATGAATAATAAGAAGAGGATGAGGAAGAAGAAGAAGAAGAGGATGAGGAAGAAGAAGAAGAAGAGGATGAGGAAGAAGAAGAAGAAGAGGATGAGGATGAAGACGAAGAAGAGGATGAGGATGAAGAAGAAGAGGATGAGGGTGAATAATAAGAGGATGAGGATGAATAATAAGAAGAAGAGGATGAGGATGAATAATAAGAAGATGAGGATGAAGAGGATGAATGAGGATGAAGAGATGAGGATGAAGAGATGAGGATGAGAGGATGAAGAGGATGAGGATGAAGAGGATGAAGAAGAGGATGAGGATGAGGATGAAGAAGAGGATGAGGATGAAGAGGATGAGGATGAAGAGGATGAGAAGAGGAGGATGAGGATGAGGATGAAGAAGAAGAGGATGAGGATGAAGAAGAAGAGGATGAGGATGAAGAAGAAGAGAGATGAAGAAGATGAAAGAAGAAGAGGATGAAGAAGAAGAAGAAGAGGATGAGGAGAAGAAGAAGAGATGAGGATGAAGAAGAGAAGAGGATGAAGAAGAGAGATGAGATGAAAAAGAAGAAGAAGAAGAAGTAGGATGAAAATAAGAGGAATTCCAGTCCAGCAAAAAGTGTCTCTGCAGAGAGCTCCACTATTTCTTTGACAGTTCTCTGACAGTTCCTTGACATTTACAGCGGTTGCAACATTGTATCTATTTGTTTCCGAATAAAAACATCTGTATCCTAAATGGAAACAAATAGATACAATGTTGCAACCGCTATAAATGTCAAGGAACTGTCAGAGAACTGTCAGAAATAGCAGAGCTCTCTGCAGGGACACTTTTTGCCGGCTGTAGACAGGATGAAAATCGGCCAATTTTTTTTTTACCATTGGTGGTAACCTCGGCCACTTGAACGACCGATTGTTCGTTTTTTTAAAAGAAAAATCAGCCGATTTTCGACCCATCTATGGCCTGCATTAGTCAAAGGTCTGGCAAGCAAAATACAGGCAAGCTCAGAGTGAGCTCTACAGCAAGTTATATAGTACCCGTATCACCTGTGACCAATTAACTACTCCCCTTTATTACCAGACTGAACGAAGGCAAGGAAAGGAAGGAAAAAAAAATGCTATTTAAAAAGTGATTTTAAAAAGTAAAAGCTTTTAGCAAGACCCAAAGAAGAAAATTAAAACTACAAGCACCAGCAATCACCAGCAGTCAAAAGTAAAACTTTCAAATTTCCCACTCTCTTTTTAGCTGTCAGCCAACAAAAAAATGCCAGATGGTGTGCATGACCAATGTGTGGAGGGGCACCATTTTGTTGCAGACCTAGGATTAAAGTGAAACATTAGTCAGAAAATTAAGTCCTGCTAAATTACTTCATGCTGGCCACGTTCAGCAGGTATAGCTATGTAAAACATTAAAAATAAGTGCCTATACTGTTTAAAATCCAGTAATACACTGTCTCACCTTGCTCTGCATATGTTCAGTTGCTCTTTATTTTTAGGCACTGTGCCGAAAATCAGAGCCACTAGAGACCGATGTGGAATGTATGTTCCTTGCTAAAGAACATTTTTTTTTTGTCATGAGTAAAGTTCCACTTTAAGCTTGACAAGCCTTTACTAAGCACTGGCAGCAGGAATCAAGTTCCTAGAGTAATATACTGGGGTATATTATGAGTGGTGCTCTTTTACTTTGTTTTTGGATAATCATGGTGACTGATTGTCACAGTTATCAGGAGCTGGTCCCTCAGGCTCCTGATCATTACTAAAGACTGGGAGCTTTCTATGACAGTGTGATGGCTATGCTGGAGCGGGCAGTGAGCACTTTCAGCACAGAAACCTCAGCCTTCCAAGGACCCATATATGCGCATTAAAGCCTATTCTCTTTGCCACTGCACTTGTGTATTACATAGACGTCAAGAGGTGGAAGAGACCCAAAGGGAGCAATTTAAGAGTTTACTGTTAAGATTTACATGCACTTCAAGTTGCTATATGTGGTAGCAGAAAGGGAAGAGGACAGCAACTTCAGGTCAGCCCTGTTTGTGCTTATAGCGCCCTCGATTGCTGATGTGAGAGAAGCAATATGTAAACAAAGCAAATTTTCAGATTTACCTAAAAAAGAGATTTAACAATTTGTAGACCAGGTTCACACCAGTGTGCTGCGGTTTGGAAGCAGTGCAGTGCGATTTTTATGCATGTTTTACATGTAGTTTTAAGTGCACTCCGATTGATTTCTTTTGGACTGTGTGCGTTTTTCATGAAAGCTCACCAAAGTCTTGCAAGCTGCATCTATGATGCGCTTTCAGAAGAAGAATGATCTTTAAGAAGCCAATGGGAGTGAACCTACAGCCACACTGCAGCCAAACCGCAGCACACTGATGTGAACCCCGCCTTATTATTGAACATAATACAAAAATAGATTAGATACTATATAATTCCATCTAATACCAAATACTTTTCAGCTAGGCTAAACTCTACTCTGGCTCACTAACCCTGGGATTTTACCAATGATGTTAGTAAATATGCTCATCAGTAATTGCTTAAGCTTCTTCCTTCCAATCCTACTTGCTTTCTGGAAATATGTTAAGATTTAGGACACAGAGCTGTCATATTACCATATTGTCTGTTTCCTAGAAACAGAACTCACTAACGATTTGAAAGTAAAAGAATGATATTTAGGAGGATGTGGTACATGCTGTACTAAAGGACACAAAGCATGTGTTCATATAAAGATCAGTCCTCTAAAACACAGAAATACTTTCTATTCGGCTTGCTTTAATGATTGTTATCATGCTGCAATCAGAATAAAAGCGGGCCTTACATGCATTGAATTTAGGCCTGTTCCTGCTGAATCAGCCCTATTGGCAAGTCCTGGATCGACAAATGTCAGTATTTAAATTGATATTTGTTGAGGGACCTGGGTGGAGAATCATCAGCCAAATAAGGCCTGCATCTAATCAGATGTTGGCACTGTTTGAGTAATCTGACAGCCAGGGGTGCTGGCTATCGGACTCCATTAGCCTGCAATGGGAGATTGGTCCATCTGTGATATCCATAGTCTATCTTCTTTAAAACTGATTTTCTTCCCCACTTAAAACCCCTGCTTATTAGGTGGTGTGTTCTGCACATTTCAAATATATACCCACCATAGACCTGCTGGGATCCTCTTCTCTTCTGGTGCGCAGGTCTCGTGCTGCCATTTTTAGTGTGACATAATCGAGACTGTGCCAGCTCTTCAGATTCAGCTGGCAGGCCTCCAGATGATTTGCCGCTAGGTCCAACCTCCTTCTTTTTTGTGAATTAAAGATGATGCCTCCTGGGATGTGACGTGTATATCCCAGAAAACATAAAGGGCACAGTGCTTGCCTAGGCAAGTGACTTTAATTGGCTGCCTGAAAATTTTTCTTTAGAGGACCAGAGGAGGGGTAGCCAGAAAGGATGATGGTTTTCAGGATGAAGATCCACTTTAACAGGGTCAAAATCAGACATACTATTTACACTGCTCACTTCTATGGCAGTCTTCATATTGCCCTAACCATGCTCCTGGTCTGTAAAACCCAGGTGGTGTTGTGCAATGAGCACCTCGTTCACTCCCTGCCTGGCCAGCACTGACACATGCAGAATAATTCTCTTATTTTGTTTTGACACTATTTAGAATAGAAGTGAAAGGGGTGATTGCTTACCAGGGCTGCTATGCATATCACAAAGGCTACTATTCATCTGTGTATGTGTGTATATATTTATATTACTGCTCCAAAAAAAATAGAGTAACACTTTTTAATCAGAATATAACATCAAATCAATTAAACTCCTGGGATATTGATCTGGTCAGTTAAGTAGCAGAGGGGGTTGTTGATCAGTTTCAGCTGCTTTGGTGTTAATAAGATGACCCCCAAAACAAGAATGGTTTAACAGGTGACAGCCACTGACATCTTTTTCCCTACTCCTCTTTTCTGACTGTTTTTCACTAGTTTTGTATTTGGCTAGGGTCAGTGTCACTACTGGTAGTATGAGGTGATACCTGACCCCTACAGAGGTTGCACAAGCAGTCCAACTCCTCCACGATGGCACATCAATACGTACCATTGCCAGGTTTCCTGTGTCTCCCAACACAGTCTCAAGAGCATGAAGGAGATTTTAGGAGACAGGCAGTTGCTCTGGAAGAGCTGGACAGGGCCGTAGAAAGTCCTTAACCCATCAGCAGGACCGGTATCTGCTCCTTTGTGCAAGGAGCACTGCCAGAGCCCTACAAAATGACCTCCAGCAGGCCACTGGTGGAAATGTCTCTGGTCAAACAATCAGAAACAGACTTCATGAGGGTGACCTGAGGGACCAACATCCTCTAGTGATCCCTGTGCTCACTGCCCAGCACAATAGAGTTCGATTGGCATTTGCCATTGAACACCAGAATTGGCAGGTCCACCACTGGCACCCTGTGCTTTTCACAGATGAGAGCAGGTTCACCCTGAGCACATGTGACAGACATGAAAGGGTCTGGAGACGTTGTGAAAAACGTTATGCTGCCTGTAACATCATTCAGCATGGCCGTTTTGGTGGTAGGTCAGTGATGGTCTGGGGTGCATATCCATGGAGGGACGCACAGACCTCTGCAGGCTAGACAATGGGTTCCTCCTGGTGCAGAACAATGCCTGGTCTTATGTGGCGAGAGTATGCAGGAAGTTCCTGGAGGATGAAGGAATTGATACCGTTGAATGGCCCCCACGCTCATCTGACCTAAATCCAATAGAACACCTCTGCGATATCATGTTTCCGTCCATCCGACGACACCAGGTTGCACCTCAGACTGTCCAGGAGCTCAGGGATGCCCTGGTCCAGATCTGGAAGGAAATATCCCAGGACACCATCCGTCGTCTCATTAGGAGCATGCCCTGACGTCAGGCATGCATATAAGCACGTGGGGGCTACACAAACTAATGAGTACCATTTTGAGTTGCAGAGGAATTTCAGCAAAATGGACTAGCTTGCTACTTCATTTTTTAACTTCATTTTCAGGGTGTCTTTGATGGAAATGGAAATGAAAATTATCAACCTACAGAGGACTGAAATCAAACGATGGGGCATCCTTATGTTCCTAACACATTATCCAGTCCAAATCAGTATAGATATCCAGAATTATATTTTTCCCCTTTGAGATCTGATGTGTTTTCAAAGTGTTCCTTGAATTGTGTATGTATGTGTGTGTGTGTGTGTGTGTGTGTATATGTATGTATATATCTATATATATATATATGTACAGTGGGGATCGAAAGTTTGGGCACCCCAGCTAAAAATTTGTATTAATGTGCATAAAGAAGATGGAAAAATCTCCAAAAGGCATCAAATTACAGATTAGACATTCTTATAATATGTCAACAAAAGTTAGATTTTATTTCCATCATTTACACTTTTAAAATAACAGAAAACAAAAAAATGGCGTCTGCAAAAGTTTGGGCACCCTGCAGAATTTATAGCATGCACTGCCCCCTTTGCAAAGCTGAGACCTTCCAGTGTCATGGATTGTTCTCAATTATCGTCTGGGAAGACCAGGTGATG